GTTTCAAAAGTGTCGCCTTGGAGTTACATGCGGCCGGGGTTAGAGGGAAACCCGACAGGAGAGAGGCCGGGGAGGGGACTCCTGCACTGCGCTATCAGAAGGTAAGCGGAGGGGTAACCGCCCAGGGCAGTGACAGAGGGAACTGGAACGCTGGGGCGAACGTGACAGGTCAGGAGAGAAGCGGGCATGGTTCAGAGGGAGGGGGACAGAGAGAAGACGGAAAGCTAACATGAGAGCCCAAGAGGGGAACTCCTCTTAGGACCAGTGCTCCCTTTCCCGACCGATCTTTACTAATGGAACTGCAAGGGACTCGAGGACAGCGACACGCCTCGCTCAGCTTGTGTTCCCGCCCTTCCCGCGAGGAAGACATTATCGGCCTCATTACCTGTGTGCACAACTGACCCGAGGAATCTATGGCTGAAACCACGGTTAAGCAAGACATCAAGTTCCCGAGGCCAGTGTGACACCTACTCATTCATCCACCCACCACAGGACGTAAAATACCCCTTTAAAAGTAGTTCTGTGGATCCAAAAATGAGAGGGGGGGGTCTATCAAAGGTACATGTGAATGGCGTGGGATGAGATGAAATCTAAGGAATACCGCTTGGTTCTCAGAGGCTGTTTCTAGACTACACACTGCAAGACCCATACAAATCTGACTGACCTCACAGGCCAAATACACGCTATTAAATATTCCTCCAAGGATATGGCCACTTGAGAGAAACACGCCCACGAGCGTTGGCCTGCGACACTGGAATGGCGAATCTGTCTGTCGCCCGTGATCAGATTTCAACGTGAAGTTCCAGAATGTACGTGCACCCTTTAATTACGAAGGCAGCGCTTACGAGAAACACGTTTCATTTTCAGAACTGCGCTACCAGCTGTGAGTGTGTGTACGTTTTTAGGGGACACTGTATGTACTGTTGATAGCACAGGTCATCGAGTTCCTACCTTACTCCCCCACTGAGGTGGTGCTCAATGTTGTAGACAAGTGTGACTTAACAACAGGAGCTTTTGTTTTACTGGCTTCAAATGTTTATAAATACCTGTCGGCATGTACCCCTGGCTTTTCCGAACCCCTTGCCTGGACGAGAGGCAGCGGGTGGGTCTGGGGCTGGGACCCCCGTCATCCCTGACGTCCTTGTGAGCGCTCAGCTGTTCAGGCCGACCTTCGGGGGGAGGGCTGGCCGGTGACCCCCATATAGGAGGCACTCGTTAAATATTACTTGGAAGTGCCCTACCCACCGCTGACTTTGAATTTTTTCTGGGATCAGATATTTGACAAAACGGAAGGCAAATTAGAAAACTGAGTTTTACAGACCATCGGAGTAATTCTGTTGGCACCGCGAAAGGCAGGAAACCAGAGTGGAAGCTTCCAAGAGAGTGGACGTGTTTGTAGCATTTCTCTTTATTTGGATGGAAAAAGAAAAATAATGGGCCTCTGACAATGTCACCACCCTTGTAAAGCATGAAAACGGAAAGGGGACTTTAGTCTCCATCTAGTCAAATGGTTACTAATCAACAGCTTTAATTTCTAAAAAAAAAAAAAAAAAAAAATCATTTTAGAATATATTTCAAAAGTTTCTTAGGATACAAAAAAAGTTTTTAAATGGTAAGCATAATATTTATGAAGTTATTTTTTAAAAACCTCAAATGTTTGCAAATTCAGTGTTAATTTTTTAATTTTTTTAAAGGTAATTTGGGGCAATCGTTTTATTTTTTTAAATGCTCACCCGAGGACATTTTCTCCATTGCTTTTCAGAGAGAGTGGAAGGGAGGGAGAGGAACATCGATGTGAGAGACACCTGCCCTCTTGCTTTAGCTCTGATACTGTAGACAAGTGACCTTTCTGTGGTTTGTTTCGTGCCACGCTTCCCACTCTTCTGCGTGTTTTGCGGTGCCCGCTGTGGTGAATGCCCGCCCCGGGCACAGCGCCGCAGCGCGGGCAGTGTCCCCAGCACGCGGCGGCTCTGAGGGCCACATGGAGGAAACACGTGTGTGAGGTGCGCTTTGTCCAGGTGTGAGTTTAGGGTGTGTTCCATGAGTTCCATGTCACTGAGTCAACAACATAGAAGGTGTTTTAAAACACAAACATACATGAGACTGATGAAAATGTCGGGATCAGAGGCTCACAGGAACCTAACCCTGTTTCTCTACTGGGGGCAAATTCGGTGTTTGCAGAAACTCCGTCGAACATTAACTATGGTGGGTAATGCAAGTTCCAGCAGGAAGCTCCCACCCCTCAAATGTTTGCATTAATATTTCCGTGAAGAATTCTCCTTCCGTCATTGCCTCCAAAGACCGTCATTGTACCTGTGCAGCCGCCACTCGTCTGTTCAGGACAAAACCCCTCTGTTGCCTTTCTTTGTGACGGCCTGCAGCCACGGGTTTCCCTCTGCTCGGGAAAGTAATCTCTCTTAAAAGCAACCTAGCTTTCCAATGTGCAAGTCTAAGGAATTCAATTTCACTTCTTATCACTGGATGTCATGGGCACTGTTTAAAGATGACTGTTTCGTGAGATCGTGGTTTTTAAAACTAGATTGTCTGAAATGATATGGACAATACGAGCAATGACGACAACAGAAACGTGGCTTAGGAATTTCAAAGCATCAGCACAAACTGGAACTCTTACCTTTCTTGCCCAAGTCAGATATTTTATTGAAAAAAAGAAAAAAAAAGATTACAGTACTTAAAGATCCAAACAAGGACAATTCAGGGTTGAGAGGAAACCTGAAAAAGCCCGTTGTCTTCAGTAAAATTCTGAATACAAAACACGGAAACCAGGAAAACAGTTTACGGCCTAATGCGCTAGTCTCATGGTAAACACACACGTACATAGCATATCTCCATGGAGGGAAACTTAATCACCTTGTTACAATTTCGAGAGGAAAGGAGGCTCTTACTATGGGTGAGCCATGTGTCATCAATACCATGAAGCCAGCCTATCAGTTGTAATAGCTTCTATAAAATACCACAGGGAGATGGCAATAAGCCTAGAAAATGGGCTACAAATCCCAGCTATGCTCAGGCAAGCAGTGAACCAAAAATAAAAATAGGTAAGACTGCGCCAGCAACCAGAGAGCATCTGTCTAGACCCGCGATTGGTAAGGCAGAGTTCACAGGCCAAGGTTTTAAAGTGACGTGTTCAGATCCCGAAGACAGTCATTATACAAAATAAAAGCATTTATGTAATTCAGGGGGGAACCATGAATTTCCACGGCACAGGACATAGCACAGAGAAGCTTGCGTACAATTACGAAACACCACATCATTGTACCTCGAAAATATTACGTCAAATATGCGAAGGTAAAGAGACTCAAAGTTGCAATCTCTCCAGTTCAGACAAGCAATCTAAAAGATGCCCCGAGTTCCCAATTGACACCTTTGCTGGGATCTTTCAGATTGTAACTCTGGGTCAAGGAGATGTCAACTTTAAGTTTCTTTTCCAATCCATCATATTTACGTTAGCCATTAAGTGCTGAATTGACAATCCATACAATAATATAAAAATACATGTATTAAAACACAGTTTTCATCAATTATTGGAAAGTAGTAAAAATAGTCATCATTTTAATATAACCATTCTAAAAAACGCAAATGGCCTGAATGCAGGATAGTGTCTACATTCTGCCATCGACAGAGATGTTACATTTCCCCGCTGCTTGGTGAAAGTGAGCTCGTGCAGTGTCTGACACAGGGACACATGTGGTCTGTCATTTTAGGGATGTGTGTGCAGCTCTCATTTTTAAACATGACAATAAGATTCAGAGTCGTACAGTATTTGTTGAAATACCAGCTTTGACATGATTTCAATAAGCTCTAAGCCAAAATGATCATTCTGATTGGTTTCAGGTATCAGACAAAGCACATGATTAAAAGGTAATAGTGACTCTACTAGCACAGACTAGTTACCACGCGGCTAGTTTAACACCAGGGTGGCGTTGGCAGTACAGTGAATACTACAGTGTAAAATACAATGAGTTTTCCGTACAGAGCAGGTTGTCCACAGAGAAAGCAAACTTAAACAGAATACAGACTCTGGCAGAAATGATCCACCTCACCGACTACTCATCTTAGCCCTTGTTAAAATACCCTGAGTAAAATGCAAATACTTTAAATAATGCTGGTTATATAGGATTTCTCTAAAAATGAACCATAAGTGTGAACGCATTTTTTATTTACAACAGTCAGGTGATGTAAAAACGAGCTGTTAACCAGTCACAACACAAACATCAAGCAATACTTATGCCACATGTGGACTCTTTTAATTTTCTAGCTTTTGTTAGCAATTTGGCAAAGCAAGTGATACATAAATGGTTTCAACATAAAAAAAAATCATAAGAGAGAAAAATATATAAAAGGTACAGTAGTTTCTACCCACCCCGGGCCCACCTAGGTCCCTAGGAAGCCTCCCCACCAGGTAACTTCTGCCTAACGGAAGAATACGTCCACCAGCCACAACAGCCCATCTTTCCATCAAGGAGGCTCTCGCGCCAATGACACCCCTCCAGGGAAGCGGACAGGAGCCGGGGTCCCTCGAGTGCCATTCCCCAGGTGTTCAAAACGTAACTAATTTATTAGCATTAGAAGATTTGGTTTATAGGGGAATCTCACTGGTCCAGTTTGGAGCCTACAAAAAAATGGATTATTTTTAAGTATAACATCAGAATGCGAACAGAGGACGAGGGTGTGGCTTTTTATTCCACAGAAATGGACACATTCCCAAACATGACAAAAGTCAAACAGAAAAGCATGCCTACCATTGAAGTGGGGGTCCCTCCAGATTTTTTAATAGTCTTGGAAGTCATTTCATGGAAGCGACTGAGTCTGGCTTGGAAACCTGGAAAATCAAAGGACCCAACTTAGGAGAGTCTATGCTCACTGGAGCGCAGAATGAGATGCCATCAGTTGCAGAATTCACAAACTAAGCCGGAGGAGGGACAGCGTCTCCAGTAGTAGGGGGAAAAGGCAAACCTCACACTTGAAAGATCCGAATCAGGGCCAGGCGGGGTTCCAAGGGCTTCTCGTCGGCTCCTTAGGGCTCCCCTTCCTTCCCTCTCCAGCCCCCTTTAATTCCAGCGTTTTCCCCGCGGGCCGGGCACCAACGCCAACCTTCCTAACAGTCCGACGGCGCGGAGAACGGGACTCGGGCTCTCCCTTCCCTGTGAGCCTGTCGCCCCCAACGACTCTTCCCCCGGCCCCGGGCCCGCTGCGCCCCGGCCGGGCCGGGCTACTGACCTCTTCTCCCGGGCTGCGCCATGATGGGGAAGAACCCAGTGAGGATGGTCGGGAAGATGGGGTTCGGCAGGTCCCTGCCCAGCGCGGCCGGCTCCTCCCGCTCCCACCAGGGCACGCCGCCCGTGATGCCGCAGGCGCCGCCCGCCTCCTTCTCGCAGAACCAGTCGCTCTGCTCGTCGTCGCCTGCGGGCACAGGAACGCCGGGGTCAGCGCCGCCACGGGCACAGCCGCGGGGTCAAGGTTAAAAGCACAGGGCATCAGGGAATTTTAACTGCAGAGGGACGATCGCTTTTCACTGTAAACACAGGGCGGGGCAAATGTAGGTCTACGGTTGTGAGTACAGGAAAGAGTTTACTCTCGTATTATTATTATTGAATTACTTTCCATACAGACAACTGTAAACCTACGTTTGCCCCACCTACTTGCACAGAATTTTTAGTCTAAGTATGTCAAATACTGCGTGGGACAGACTGACACAAAAAATAATTTGTTATTTATCTAAAATTCAAATTTAACTGGGGACCCCGTGTTTTATCTGGCAATCATGTACATAGTCTATTAAAAACACACCTCTTTATTCTATCCCACAGCTTCACGTAAATGTTTTTAACACTGTAGCAAGAACTGCCATCAACAAAAATGTTTTAGAACCAATGTAAAAATGGGAAAAACAATAAAAAACTGGTTAATCTTTCGACAAAAACTGCAGGGAAATCCACTGAAGTCACTACCCTTTTCCACATTAAGGAAAAACAAGCCTTAATCTCCTACTGGGAATGAAAAGATATAAAAGTGTAGAATTTGTTCTTTGCAGCTGATAATGGTGTCTCAGCTTAATTTCACGACTTCTATGGAGTGTGAAAGGGGAAACAATCATGAACAGATGTGACTAAATGAAATTAATCTGATTAAGTTCATTAAGAAATGGCTGTGAAAAAGCTGATTTTAAATGAAAAGTGACAACACCACAGAGTTTACAAAGAAACTACACTGGACTCCAGCAAAGTCTTTCTAAAACACACTACTCACAGCACATGTGAGGACATCCATGGGGGTAGCCATGGAGCAGCGACCAATGCAAAATTCAGTGTGAAATGTGCTGGGCATGTGAACTGACAGCATTTTGTATTTAAAAAAAAAAAAGAGACTAACAAAGAGACAAAAATACAGAAGGCGGCAGATGGCTTTAAAAATATGAGACAAACAGCACGTTGAACGTCACCTGCGATCTGATACTCATTCAAGTCTTCGGGACCCTTAGGAAAACGACTAATTCTGATTTCTAGGAGAGCCATCCTAACTGCCACAGCCTGTTCCCTTTAAAAGAAGGGATTTCTGATTTCCAAAATCTCTCCTTACAAATATTGCAAAATGCAAACGAAAAGAAATCTTAAGCTCCAACTGAAAATTTTATGGGAAACAGCCATATTTCTAATTATGAGGGAAGCGAAAAATTTAAAGCATTTGGAAAACCAGAATCACCAATTTATTTCAATCGAGGATTTAATAAAATTTAGTTTTTAAAAAAGGCACAATTCAAAACACATAAATATCAGTACTTTACTGATTTGTTTTTGTTTTCTTTTTAAAAATTTTTATTGAATATGTTGGGGTGACACTGATTAATAAATACGTAGATTTCAAGCGTACAACTCCATAACACATCCTCTGTACACTGTATTGTACCTTCACCACCAAAGTCAAGTCTCCTTCCATGTTTTGACTGATTTTTATATTAAAATCTCACAGATTAGATATAAGCATAGGAAGAGAAAGGGAGTCCCTTGAAATTGACTACCCTAGATCTTAATTCCAGTTGAGACAGCATTATTCTAAAGAAATAATGTTTTATTTTTGACAAGATACTCAATTTTATTCTGAATAGGGAAATGAATTAGCTACAGATTAAGAACTTGGGCCCTAAGTCTGACAGAACAACTCGCATTCTGGTGTTTTCTAACGCCGAGAAGTTACTTCAACTCTGTTAGCCTAGGTTTCCTCACCTTAAAAGGAAAAGGAATCTCATAGGGATGTTTTAAGAATTAAATAAGAACCTAAAGTAATTTAATGTTTAAAAAAAAAAAAAGCACTTACCAATGTGAAACATAATAAATTTGCAATAAATGCAGGCATGATCATGTAATCATAATTTAAAGCAATACATTTTGTTGTTTCCCTTGGAACTTACTAATTTCCTCTAAAGAGTCTCAGGAAATAAGGCTCATGTTTGTGATTACATATCTGCATGTACGCCTGCTGCCCCCTTATTAAGGTTCTCGCGTTTCCTTCCAGAGCAGGTAGGTTCAAAATAATGCCAGGCTCAAGTAGGAAAAGCTTCAGGAAATTTCAAAGATGAAAAAGATCTAAGTTGCAAAACATTCCTGTTCAACAGTTTCTAATATTGAATTTATGAAAACTGTCTAATCGCAAACTAGGTAGGACGCCTACATGTCACAGCTGGATGAAAATGACAAATACCCTGCACACCCAACGTTAGAAATGCTCAAACAGAATGGAATACATCAGAAAGCGGGTGAGACTGGGAACCAGTGTCCTGGTCACTGGCCAGAGAGACAGCGGGACAGACGGAGGCCCGCAGGACTCCCTCGGGCACACGATCCTTCCCTTACGCGATGAGCTGCGCACTGGCGTTGGGAAAATCAGTTCCTCGGCCACGGGGACAGGGGCTTCCCCGGCGCGCGGAGCTAAGCCCACTCCCCTCGGCAGCAGGTTCGGTAAAAGGACTGCAGTCCACTAGGATGTAACTAGTAATAGGCGCAGCTTGACAATGAAGACTTTTTTCCAAAGAGAAAAAAATGACGTTTCAGTACCTTGCCTTCCCTCGTCGTTGGTGAACAGACCAGCATCCGTGCTGCTGAGGCTGCTGGAATCGCTGCAACAGGGAAGAGAGAGAAAAACATCAAAACAACAATTGATCTCTCAGCTCAGGCCTGGAACTGAAGCCTCACAAACATCTGAAAGGAAACAGGGGGATTTAAAAAAAAAATCAAGCTGCAGATATCCTGGTTCCATCCACGGCAGAGCGTATTATTTTTGGCACATAAAACCGCAGGAATCTAATGGGACCCTGACAGTAAGCCAGATGTGACTGCAACGAGGTGCTGACATAATTGATGCATTTTATTATCTGCTCTCATCAGAGGCCCGCCGCTCCCTTCTCACGCCATGCGCTGCGGCTGGGGCCGGGACCACCACGCTCAATACAACGGGCAGGTCTCAACCAGAAGCAGCCTGAGCTTCCGCAGCACAGGAGATGCAAGAGCCTGGGATGCATTACCTTTCACAGCCACATCTGCAAACGTTCTGGAAAAGGCACCACTGAAGGGTCCACAACAACCCTGTTACTTGGCAGGGAAGAAAGCAGTTAACAACGGCAACAATTCATTCCATCAAAGTTAAGGTCCCTCTGAGCAAACACTGAGCAAAAAGGAGCATTACCAACAGGAAGGGGGTGTGTGCAAAAATAACAGGTCCTCTACTTCCACTGAAGTTCCAGACTACGACAGTCAAAATTAACATACAAATTAAAACAAACAGTAGATATTCAAATGACATGGACACACTGTCACTGTTTGTTCCAACAGCAGTGCTTATGTGGTAATATAGTTGGCTTTAAAAAAAACCACAACAGGTCACATGACAAGAGGTTTGGCCTCTAAAGAAAATTGAATGGTGTTCTTTAAAAATTCTCATGTGTCTCCTTTTACTGTAATTCTTAATTTACCAATCAGAAACTGCCCCAGCTGATTGTTTATATTATAATACATTTTCCATTAACATGTTGAACAGATAACGTAAATTATTTTTAAAAAAATCCCAATCTACTTTAAAATATTTAAATTGAGAGTTTAAGGTTGAAATTACAGATGACATCTAATCTAAATGACATTTTCTGAATATAAAATATTTAGTGTTTGTTTGAAATAAATATAAACAAAAACTATAAGAATAAGTGACACATTTTCCCAAGAACTCTCTATTTGTACTGTCTCCTCTAACTTTCTTCAAATTAAGAGAATGCACGAAACTCCCTGTACTGCACAGGTGTTAATGAAAGAAAAAGATACTTTCTAAGAGCACCAAATTCATATTTTCTTACTTACAAACGTACATGCCCCTCTACACATAGTGATGTTAGGGTATGAAAACATGACAGAAGCGTTATCTTCTTTCCCTTCGGCTGTCCAAACCACTGCGTAGAGCTTTCCTGTCTGCTCCCAGCAACACAACCCTGGGAAAGGAAGGGCCTTAGCATACAATCCTAGGGTCACAATTCTTTCTCTAAAGCCCTCTGATCAAAGCTTATTAAAAATTAAGAAATCTTCTAACTTTAGAAAGGTCTGTTCTAAAACGCCTGAGATGGGTCTGGGGTAGCACTCCATACTCCAACACATTAATATATTTTCTCCATTAAATGAATGAATGTCCACATTAAACACAGGTCAAGTTAGGTTTGGCCACAAGTAAGTTAGTTTCTCACAGCATTCAGAAGTCAGATTTGCGGATAAAGGATTGTGAATCTATGCGCTGTTAACTTATTTGTGGTACAATGGTCTTCTAACCTCTCTGAGTTCAGATTTATCCCTCTAAAAATTACATATAACAACCAGTTCCATCTTTTCAAAATGTAGCTTGGTGACTAAAAATATTAGGATCTCCCAGATGTGATCCTGGAACAGAAAAAGGACATTAAATAAAAACAAAGGAAATTCTAATAAAGTATTGACTTTCCTTAATAATGTGTCAACATTGGCTCATTAATTCTGACAAATGAGCCACAGTAATGTCCCATATTAATAACAGGAAGAACTGGGTGTGGGGTATATGGAAACAGGACATCAGGAGCTCTGAGCTGTCTCTGCAACTTTCTGTAAATCTAAATAGTCTTGATAGTCCTCTGTTAAAAATGTGAAATTCACCCCCACACTTGCTGGACTCCATTTGGATTCCAAGGTTCCCTCTGGGTGGACCCCCACCTAAATCCTTCCACCCCCACCTCTGGTCCTTGTGTTTACCTTTTTCCTCCTAGTGGTACCCCATCTCCTCTCATCTCCCTCCGCCTGCCCTCTCCCCTTAAAGATTCCAGGAAATCAGAATCCCTAGGACCAGCTCTTGGTCCTTAAGGATGCCTGGCCTCATCTGAGATAGTGTGACATGTGTTTTAGACACTTTTCCTATTTATACTTCACCTCACGACGTCTAGCTGGAGGCTCCAAGCACATCACATAGCTGTTCACGTGTTCAGGAAGTCAGAACAAGAACGGAGCAGAACAGGGACCTTTCATTGTCAGCATCTGATGCCATGATGGCCTATGGGCAAGGACCCCTCTCCCCAGGACTTTCAGTATGACTTTTACAGCACAGCAGTTGGAGGTACTCCATGAAGGCTTGTTGAATTAACGTACTGACACTAATCCCAACCTCCTGCCCCAGCCTGTTCGGGTCCTACACTCTCTCCTCTTCAAAGTTTCACCACCCATGCCTGTGCCCACCGCTCCCTCTACCCAGGATGCCACTTCCTCCTTCTCGCCACCCCTCCAGTACCCAGGTGGGCTCAGTGCTGCCTCAAACCCCAGCTCCCCAGGCCGCCTTCCTCACCTGCTTGTTCCAGATTACGAGGCTGCGGAGGTCAGGCTCTGCCCTGTCACTAGTCTTGGTACCATGTATAGAGAAAACACTTACTCGAGGTTTGTCAAATCAAGCACACGGAGTAAAGTAGTTCAGTTCTCATTTGCAAATCAGTTCCAAGGACATGCATAGCTTTCTATAGTAGGAAAGCTTTGGAAGTGGTCCCAAAACACTGAACGTGGGAAACTACCTTAAATATGGAGCAGCCTTCCCACAGAAGGCATATGCACCTAACTTTTAAGTAACAAGAGAAATAATTACAGAGGTTAAGTTTAAAATAAGAGAAAAAAAATTGTTTTAATTTATTCAAGAGTGGGAAGCCCCTCTATGAAAATGTGTGCCTGGCCTGCGGGCTGGGCAGCCCATCACCCCTTAGGTACTCAGACACTCTTTACAATGAAGAGATTCATCTCATTTCTCTCCCAGGGCAGACGTCTGTCAGTAGGAGGCGGAGGTCAGTAAGAGGAGGGGCTTGAACAGTCAATCCAGAAAGCAGGCCATCCATGAAAATCCAGGATGAGCACTTATCTTCCCTGCACACACACCCCCTCCCTCCCAGCAAGTGAGAAAGATGATTACTCTCAAGTCCAACTAAGGCGCTGTCACAGGGCCCAATGCTGGCACACAAACCATACAAATAATTCTCGCTCTGGTACAAAAACGACAGCTTTCTTGGAAAAAAAGCAGAGACTGTAAACTTTTCAAAGCCTTCCTGAAACATTTTTTTAAGTAATTTTTACTTCTTTAGGAAAATTGTATAAATGGTAAACCATCTCTAATAAAAGGTCCACACTATAAAGTTTTACCAGGTCTACTCATATCTGCAATCATAATCATACTTACAGGCAAAAACAAATACACATTTTATATATATATATATGTGTATATGTATATATGTGTATATATTCCATAGCTCACGATCCACATGATTAAACTGCCAGTCCTACAAACTGAAAGTCAAATATTCTTTCCCAGGCCATTTTTAAGGAATGTATTTTCTGCACCACAGTTAAACATTTGGTTTTAAGGACACACCTATAAGATGAATACTGTCAATACTTTGTCATTTCCTGCAGGCAGCATTAGTTCTGTGTAAAATAAAAATGACCACTTACCTTTTGATGCTGTTAAAATAGTACTTATACCTGCTTTCCAGAATGGAGAGGCTACACTAACTGCCAGAGGATCATTGCCTTTCTCATCTGTCTAATGACAAGGTCAGGGGTTCTAAGCAGTGAATTGGGCTTTACAGTTCCTAAGTGATAAGAATTCCTAAAAGCTAGACTTAAAATACTAAGCCACACAAGTTGAAGTGCTATCGACTCTTGATTCTCAGTAATCAGAATAAACTGATGGCCCTGGCTGGTGTGGCTCAGTTGGTTGAGCCTTGTCCTGTGCACAGAAAGGCTGCTGGCTCCCTCCACCCCTGGCAGGGGCCTGCAGGAGGCAGCCGATTGATGTTTCCCTCTCCCCCCTTCCTCTTTCTCTAAAAAAAAAAAAAAAAAAAAAAAAAAAAAAAAAAAAAAAAAAAAATTTAAAAAA